ATAGTTTAATCGGAGATATGAAGATCAAGATGGTGTGGTCTAAGTCTTCCTACCAATATGACCAAGTTGCAAAGACAAGATCAAACAAGCTCTATTCAACGAAAGGAGACTGCGACACACAAAAGGCCACACCTTCTTGATCTTCATACCTTCAACAACGTTAGACTTGTCGAGACCCCTTGTCAGGTAGCCGTGACGACACCAGCAAGTCACTCCGATCGGCTTTTATACACACTCGCACTATCGGCTCTCAGGTGGCCAGTGTGCGCGCTCGCATGTGTGTGTGTTTGGTGTGTGTGTGGGAGGGAAAATGCCGAGAATGATGAGGCGTCACGTGGGGACACTTGGTTGGCAACATTTGGGCTCAGGCGCGACAGGAAGCCGGACCCGGTGTCAGTGTCGTCAGGCTAGAGGCGACATGTTCAGGCTGATGTGGGGTGGATTGCCAACTTGTCGGCTGTCCTGACGAGGCGGCTAATTGACAGACTTGCCGTGGGGTTTTGGCTCCGGAGGGCGGGGTGACCCGAGCCCGTTTCTTGCACTCGCGAGCCACGAGCGACAGATCCGTTGGTAACACAGCTCGGCGGGTCTCGAAGGCGGGTTGAAGAGAGCCGCTTGACGTTCCGGTTAGAAGCAATTCCTAAAACGCTCTCATCGGACATCGCAGGCGGATCGACTGGCGTCAAGTGAAGACTATTCAAGTGTGCGATCAATTCCTCGTCTGTCTCATCGTTCTGTTAACTCCCATCGACTCACAGCTCAGCATTCGTCTGCACCCTCGCAACACATCATACTTTGGCGCGTTTTTTTTCGTAGAGCATGTTTTCTCGTTGTCACGCTGTCACGCTGTCTTCTGTGGCATGACAGACAACAGCCGGTGCACGGGTTGAGGTGAGGTGAGGTGAGGACTTGGTTGGCTCGACTTTGTGGCACTCGTGCTTCGCGTCTGTTCTGTGCAATCGTTTCATGAACTTCTTCCAAGTGCAAGTCACTAATGCACCCTTTAAAACCCACTTTTGCTTTAAATTGTGGTTAAAAGAGCCTTTTTCTCTTCTATCATTCTCTATGTCTGTCTGTCTGTCTGT